CCCTGGATGGGATGCTAGTCCATCGCGGGGTTACCCCGCTTGATCAACCCCAATTGATTGCAATTCCAAATCTGCTTTAACACGGCTTCATTTGAGTTCACGCAAAAATAAAAAAAATTCAATAAATTTTAATTGTCCGCAGTTAATTTAGATTAAAGATTAAAAGATACTAAGTATTTCACACTATTGACGTGCTGTAATAGCGTTATCCCAGAAATTAAATCAAAGGAATAACTTGAACTGGATCACACACCCACTAGAACAAAAAGAATCATTCCGCCTGTTCTTTCTAAGTTAATCCTCACCCTTTGGCATGGAGTATGCTGTTTCATTGAAATATTTCCTTCAAGAAAATAATTTCGCTTTGTTCATAGTTATTTAAAAAGCATTAGTTATGATATGTTGGTGTCAGATAAGTTCTGAGTAGTCGAGTTAATTAGAGCCCCTGCTGCTTAAACTACAGGTAAATAGTGCTAAAACATAAGCGTTTTCAACAGCTGTAGATACATTTTATATACGGTTTTGAAAAAAGTGTTCACACCTTTCACTTTTTACAATTTTTCGCTCGCAGTTAAACACATGGTTGTATCATGCACACTAACAGAACAATTGTGACCCTCCGTGGCAAAATTTGTACTGAAGTGAACATACGGGTGCAGCAAAATGACTCGCTAAACAATAGGCAGTGGATGAAATGACACGGCGGCTTTTGGGCGACTTTTTTTTTATTATTTTAAGGCTCACGGATTATATTTAAACGTCAAATCCGTGAGCCTCAATTATAAACGCAAGGAGACGTAAGAAGCTGGAGGTGTATTACAATGCTTCCTGCTTTGATTTTTTTCCTTTTACAGCGATCATGCTGTTTATTAATATGCAAAGCATAAGGTTGAATATAGATGATTGAATCATCGTTTTACGGCGCCGCAAATCATGTTTCGAACCCTAAGAATCAAGTGCTTCTTAGAACTAATGGAAGGGGGGTTTTTTTTTTTCGGAGGTTTTCCTAGGGCTTTGTGTTTTTTCGCATTCAGATGTTTGTTACGACAGTAGTTAATGGCAGCATGAAGTAAAGTCACGACTTAAGCTCTTAGCCTCAGAGGTGACATGTTATTGAAAGGCGTAAAAATGAAAACGTACCTGTAGAAGCGAAAAAACAAAATGCCGTCGTTAGTATCGGGTACCGTAATGCTCCAAAATTTAGTCTCATTCTTTCCATAAGTCCCTGACTCAGAATACGTGAGGCTACGACTGGTAGCTGTGATGTTTGTCATACCATTGGGATACGCTGAAGTGAAGACAAAGGTTGTGTTTACATATTGACTACATTTATCTCCCAAGTTGAGGAGACAAATCTCTTCCATAGGTGTATATTATTTCCTTGTATACCAATTGNTCCCCCCGTCCAAAGTCATGTTCATATGCCCTGCCCAAGTGCTCGATTTTAATGGGGTCTCAGAGGGGTTAACTGTTAGTTGTAAAACGGCTAATATCGGCGATACTGTGACTACAGGATTTTCCTATGATCTTATCAATGTTTGTGTTAACATGCGCGCTATGATGATTCAGAGCTGATCTTATTCAACCATTTGTTTGTCTTTTAATACAAAATGTTGTGCTCCATTTTTTCCCAATGGTTTTAAAATATTTTAAAACAGTTTTATTTGAATTTTCCTTGCCTTGGAACAAAAGGAAACAAAATAACAAAGCTTAATAATTATATCGCACAAAAAACTACTCTCGGTGCATGATTATAACAAGTTGACCTTTTTCACGATCAGAGCTGAGAGGAACAGCAGCATCAATGGACAGCTAGCAGACAGTCGTCCTTGTCCTAGAACAATGAAAAAAAAAAATAAAGACTTCAAGACAATTTTTCAACCATTCATTTTCACGGCTAGTTCAATAGGTTAAGTACAATAGTTAACCCTTTCTCTCAATAACAACAAAAAAATTCATTACATTCGGCGACTGGTTTTGAAAAATTTTGCCCTACCGGCGAAGGAGTTAAATGTAAAATAACTTCAGTTCCGCGTTGCGATAGAGAAACTTATCTCAGCGTGTTTTTATAACACACCTGCTTTAAAGGAAGCTCTGAATCCCTTGTACACTGTGGTAGAGTTTCCATCACTCATGAACTGAACCCAAACCATGTTCCCTTGACTCTGTATCGAATTCGGCTTTGTATTTCCACACAGGCGATTGGTCAGAATTGGACCGTTTTTGCCAGATATTGTTTTAGGATCACCAACCTCGATGGATGCCTCACGGAACTCAACATAGTCATGTTTGCAATCCTTGCTGTACTCCAGTTCAAATGTGTCGAAGTCTATCTGAACCTGCCGACCCTTAGGAACAATTAAAAACCATTGTTCTGCGTAATTTGAGGGATAGTTCTCCACCCCAAGAAA